AGCATCTCACTACAAAACTTTATAGAGGGCTGGTAACATCAGCTGTAGCAAGTTATGAATCAAAATTAATTGTTATTATAATTAGGCATGTAATTAATGTCAACAAAAAGTTCATAATACATTAAATAATGGAAAAAATAAATGAATTGACCTTCAACTTATCGAGATGGAATGCTGGGTTATAAGCTTCTGTTTTTACTCCACTTGTCCCCCTCATAGTCTACAAGTCCAGATGCAAGATACTTAAAGAGGGTTCGCCTTAGGTTTATGAAAATCATTATGTCTGGAAAATATTTCTTTTAGTTGATCAGGATTCATGATGATCACCCTGGATGGACCAATCCATGTAATGAATTTTTTCCTGCATTTTGACAAATATGTACAAATGTTAGTAGAAGATTATTCGTTGTTGTTCAAAAGGATATATCTAACATGGATGAAAAATTATGATTATGAAAAGATTTGGGATTGACATACCATAATCCTTGACCACTTTATGTTGGAATGGAACCAGACGTGGTTTAACATCATCAGAGACATTGAAGGATCTGGATTTTGCTTGTTTTAGCATCACTCTGGTCTCCTTCAAATCTCCATAAAGAAGCCTGTAAGGTTTGCCAGAGAGACCTTGCTGTCTCGTATCTCTCCAGCTTCTTTGCCCAACCATACCCAGTTCAGAATTCTCCATGCCAATGTTACTACTGTAACCAAAACTATGGAGACTGCAATGGATATCACTGATATTCCATTTCAGATGACTATGAAATTTCAAAGACTCGTTCATTGATACGATAGTACGTGGTTATGCTCTCAATTTATAGTACTGAAAAAAGTGACTCTGACTGGAGCATGAAAAATCATCTTGGATTTTGCTGATAATTTTGTTTATTTTTTTTTATATATTCAAAAATTATGAAAAGACTTTTGGGGTGTCCACCATCTAGAATGTCTTTTATATTAATTTAATGGTTTTTTATATTATTTATAAAAAATATTTCTTATAAAGACCGATATAAAGAAGACTATAAATAACATCATTAAGAAAAAAAAGAAAAAGAGAAAATAAAATCATAAAAAAGGATAGAAATTTTTTGTATACCTTTTTGTATGTATTTTGTAAAACTAACATTCCTCTCATTATTATATATATATAATATTATAAGCTAAGTTTACCAGTTGAACGCTTGTTCCCATTTGATGATGTGATTCATAACCAACCACCGCGCTGCTTGTCTGCTTGTTCTGCCCTCGCTTCCACATCTACTTAGCAAGTCTACTTAGCTTCGTTGCCTGCTCTCCTCTATCGAGAATGGGTCTCTCACACTGTCCTGTGGAAACGGATGCCGCTCTTCTGGTAACGTTCTTTGCTTCATCGCTTTCAGTATCCTTTGCTTGGTTAATTTCTTCCCGCTTACTGACCTTGATTACTTGAATAACTAATAAGGCCCTCTTTTCTTATTAGCACGATAGGGGGGTAATCCTTCTGTTATGAGTGAATCTATATGATGATTGTTACTGCAGGATGCAATTTCCATCATGTTTCAACGTCAACAACTTTTAGTAACTTGTTACAATGTCATTGTGAATGAATTTTGTAGGTATAAAATATTATTTCTCCTCTTAGCCGCTGCTCACTGATCACCAACGATCTAGTTTGGACTCAGGAGCTTTCCTTCACCTCCAAGCAAAACAATTAATTATTATAACACTTCTTGTAATAGTAAGTAAACCAAAAATGTATTTATTCAACAATTGTGGAAAAAAAAAATGGATGTACCACTAAGGACTCTTCCTCTAGTTTTCTTCTTTTCTAATTATAAACCTAAATCATACTAAATACGTCGTAATTTTACTTTTATTTAGAGTATAAAATACGTAAGATATATATTATTGTTAAAAGATTGATTAACTTATAACCTAAAAAGACATGTGGTTAAAAGTATTCTCTTATCAAAGAGTTTCGATATTTATTCTCTCAAACTTATAAATTTGAACCAAACAACTTCTCATCTTATTTAAGTAAAAACTAATCCTCTAGTTTGTTGCCAAACGAGATAAATTTTGCCAAAAAATAAAATTTTTATTTTTAATGAACATCTATATATATACAATAAACCTCTTTATAGTGATACACTATATAAGAATAAACTACATGTTATAAAAAATTTTATTCCAATTTGGGATAGTTATAATAAGAATAAACTCACATTGTAATAACTTTAATTTTTCTAATTCTCGTCTTAAGAAAAGTTGTCTCCACATAGTAATAATTATGTGTATATTGCAAAAAAAAAAAAAAAAATTATGGTACATTAAAGGTTTAAGATGAAATAAATATTATCTAAAGTTGTTTGAAAGAATGATTTATGCTTTAGAGTTGTTACTACATCTTTTAACTGTGGGATATTACTCGTTAGCATGATCTTCTTATTGAAGCCAAAATATTTATGCTTCTCAAGCATGTTTGAGCTTCTTAGCACGAATTTTTTTTTTTTCGTACTATCATCCTCATGATTATTTCCTTCTCTTCTTGTGTAATTGTAGTAATGATTCTTCTTCAGCTAAAACATACATGACTTGTTGCTCATTTGAATGATTGAGGAGGACATTAATATCCATTCGATTAGTATAGTGAAGTTATCAAATCTGGTCCTCAATTCTACAATGACTATTTGATTCTTCTATCTACTTTATTTATAACTTGTAATTCATCGACATCAAGGGTCCTAATTTTTAATGCTTAAAAAATTGCAATTGTTTGTGGTTTCACATCAATTTAACCATGCAAAATGTATTTACAATTCTCAAGGACATTTATCTTTTTGTGGCCAAGACAGATCTTTTTTTCGTTTAAAAAGTAGACAATTGAAGTGCTGAATTGAAATCCTAATACTATAAAACATGAATTGAAATCCTAATGTTGTACTACTAAAACATTAATTATAAAATAAGAAATTTTATAATACTCTCTATTAAATTATACCTTTCATAATAATAAAATTAATTGTCCCACTTTATGACTATAGAGAGGATTTACTCTCTTCTCTTTTATATATATATATATATATATATATTTAAGGTGTTCGAGCTAGTTTACGTGCAACTCAACTAATTCATCGGGGCTTTGAAACTATCGATCGTGTAAGAATCCTAGTAGTCATCCTTATTAGTGCCTGGAATGACTCAAACTCAAGAGTTCATGAAAACTTATTTTGGTCTTTTACTACCCAATGGTGGTTTAGGGTATATCATGTCACTAACATAGTAAGAAGTAGACTCTTGATATTTTGATTCTGATTCGATACCTCTAATTAGCATTACCCTATTTCAATAACACAAAGAGGCTGTTTGGATTGGGGGTAAATGAGATAACGAGGGTAATCTTTGTTTATTTTATAAGATTCTTGTGTTTAGTTTGCAAGTAATAAAATATTATGAGAATTTTTTATTGTAAATAGTAGTTACTATTGTTAATGTGGGGGATAATCTTATTACCTTACTAGGGGGTGTTATTAAAACATTACCACGGTAATTTGATTTTTCAACCCATTTTGCCCTTAATTAAAAACCATTTTGGACACAATTGCCCTCAAATGTCTACCAAATAACAATTACCCAACTCTCCTACACTTGAAAAATTAGCTAAAATACCCCAACAATAAAAAAGTTTAAAAGTTAACAAAATACCCCAAACCATTCAAGACCACCGCTGGCCACCAGCGTCCGTCGTCGTTCCAGCCATAGATCACAGATCCATGGCACAAAACGACTAGAGATCATAGATCCATGGCCGAAAATGACCAGATTTGGCATTTCTATGGCCGTGAAAAGGCCAGATCTTTGGCTGTGCCATTTCACGGCCAAAGATCTGCCTTTTCACAACCAGATTTGTGGCCGTTTTCCAAATCCATGGCCATTTTCGGCTTTGTTAGTGCATGGCCAATCGTGCGCTATTTTGTCAACTGTCGACAGTGGCTTGGGGTGGGTAGGGGTGATTTTGCTACAAATTAAAGTTTTAAATAGCTGTGGTGTTTTAGCAAAATTTTAAATGTAAGGGGTTAAAAGAAATAATTCAAAAAATAATAATAAAAAATACTATTATATTAATATTTAAAAAGGAGGATAATTTAATAATATATATAATATATCTACCAATTAATCTTCTCAACCACACATATTATTCATCAATTTATTTGAGTCAATTAAACACATTTTCTAAACATTCTCAATAATTTTCAGGATAATCTTTCTTTTTATTAATATAATATAATCTTATAATAAAATATTATATGATTTAAAAGTCTCTTAAGAGGGAAAGATTAATTCCACAAGTTTTAGTTTTTTTGGTTCTTTCCGAGCAGAAAATAACTCTCTAAAATTTGAGAAAAACTTGCGTGAGCCTGTCTCACCATGTTATTATCTTGATATGGTGAGACATCCAATAAAATTTTGCCACGTGTTCACTTACTGTGAATTATAAAATAAATAAAATTTTAATTTTTTTTAATACTATTTATTTTCCTTTCGCTTTCTTAGCTAAACAAAACAAAGTTTCTCTCTCTCCTCGCCACTGTTATCTGCCACAAATCGCCATTAATATTTTTTCGTCAGGTTGTCATCCTCCGTAAACTTGCCAGTCAACTCACAACAATTCCCCCCACCCCCCCGCCACCCTTTTTTGTTCCGACATTTGTTTTGATTGTTGGAGCCTATCAGGTAAGATATCAAGTGTTTAATATACAAAAATCCAGATGATTAATGGCAGTTCTAAATTTTACTATTTATTTATTTACAAATCTGATGGGTTATAGCCATGGGCTTGGTGAGTGGTAATAGGCTTTGCATCAGATACTTTAGTACAAGGAAAATGAAAATGCGTTTCTTCGGAGAGAAAGAGAAAGAGGAAAGAGAGAATATCAAGCCGAAAGATAATTACGGAAGCAAAAATTAAAATTAATAGTCGTTGTTTATTTACTAATCGCTAACAATGGAGAGGAAGATAAATGAAAATATTCTTTATTCAAACAATCACAATACAGGCTACTTACACCATCATGCTAACAAATTAACAGTTGGTGCAATATTCTTTATTCAAACAATCACAATACATTAACACAATTTTTTTTTCCTATAGTTTCTTCAAGATTAAGTGGGCACCATGTTCCGGATGAAGAGTAATAACTGAACGAGGAGCATGAACATAAGATGGAGATAACTCCAACGCGAAGTTTTGCAGAATTAAAGCCAAAGCCATTTTTGCCTCCAAGAGAGCAAAGTTTTGTCCAATGCATATTCTAGGACCCCATCCAAAAGGGAAGAACGAAACTTGACTCTTCGCGGCCTTTGAAATTCCTTCAGAAAACCTCTCCGGATTAAACTCCTCCGCGTCATCACCCCAAAGTTCTTGATCATGATGAACCAGGATAATTGGCGTTGTGACTTCAACTCCAGCAGGCAGTGACAAGTCTCCAAGTTTTATTTCTTCGTGAACAGCTCGATCAAGACCAAGCACTGGAGGGTATAACCTGAGTACCTCATACAGTATCATTGAGACCTGAGAAATTAACATTAAAATTAATCTACAAAATTCCAAAGAACAAAAGAAATACTATTTTTATCCAACATATTTATACTTACAACTTTCAAGTGATTCAATTCATCATAGCTTGGCTTCTTATCACCAAATACTTGGAAAACCTCTTCTCTTGCACGAGCTTGCCAATCTTGATGCTTACTCAATAAAATCATAGTCCAGACGAGCAAAACGGAGGTAGTCTCTTGACCAGCAAAGTAAAACAACTTGCACTCTTCAATCACATCATTGATGGTCATTCCAACTTTTTTGTTGTTTCCATGTTCTTCAATCTCTCTGAAATTGGATTCCATGAGTATACCCAATAAGTCCTTCTTTGAAGCTTCTCCTGCTCTCCTAACCTTCTCTCTATTATTAATGATACCAACAAGTAAGGCTTGTATTTCCGCGTCAATTTTCTTTAATCTCCTATTCCTTTTAGTAGGTAAAAACCTCCATAATATAAATAAACAATAAAAGTTAATTCAAGAATGAAATGAACTACTATTTGTGTTTTTGAATGGACGGTGATTATCCAAAGGATTTCAAGCATTCAGTATATCAAACACAGTCCAATATCAATGAAATAGTTTCTATTTTCTCAACACTAGATATTGCTTTACCTCAATCCGGGAATGTAAACCGAATGTAAAACTTCTGTCATAATATCAGCTAATTCTGTCAGGAGTTCAAATATCTTTCTTCCTTCTTCGAAGTTGCTTCCAAATGCTGTTTTAGAAATCACATCACCTGTCAAATTTGCAAGGGAGGGCCATACATCCAATTCACATGATCCTTCTTCAGAGACCAATTTCTCCCATTTGCTAATCATCTCACTACAAACTTTATAGAAGGCTGGTAACATCAGCTGTAGCAAGTTATGAAATCAAAATTAATTGTTAGTATAATTAGGCATGTAATTAATGTCAACAAAAAAGTTCACAATACATATAAATAAATGGAAAAAAATAAATGAATTGACCTTCAACTTATCGAGATGGAATGCTGGGTTGATAAGCTTTCTGTGTTTACTCCACTTGTCCCCCTCATAGTCTACAAGTCCAGATGCAAGATACTTCAAAAGAGGGTTCGCCTTAGGTTTATGAAAATCATTATGTCTGGAAAATATTTCTTTTAGTTGATCAGGATTCATGATGATCACCCTGGGTATTGGACCAATCCATGTAAATGAATTTTTTCCTGCATTTTTGACAAATATGTACAAATGTTAGTAGAAGATTATTCGATTGTTGTTCAAAAGGAATATATCTAACATGGATGAAAGAATTATGATTATGAAAGAAGATTTGGGATTGACATACCATAATCCTTGACCACTTTATGTTGGAATGGAACCAGACGTGGTTTAACATCATCAGAGACATTGAAGGATCTGGATTTTGCTTGTTTTAGCATCACTCTGGTCTCCTTCAAATCTCCATAAAGAAGCCTGTAAGGTTTGCCAGAGAGACCTTGCTGTCTCAGGTATCTCTCCAGCTTCTTTGGCCTCAACCATACCCAGTTCAGAATTCTCCATGCCAATGTTACTACTGTAACCAAAACTATGGAGACTGCAATGGATATCACTGATAATTCCATTTCAGAATGACTATGAAATTTCAAAGACTCGTTCATTGATACGATAGTACGTGGTTAATGCTCTCAATTTATAGTACTGAAAAAAGTGACTCTGACTGGAGCATGAAAAATCATCTTGGATTTTGCTGATAATTTTGATTTTTTTTTATATTATTCAAAAATTATGAAAAGACTTTTGTGGTGTCCACCATCTAGAAGTCTTTTTATATATTAATTTAATGGTTTTTTATATTATTTATAAAAAATATTATCTTTATAAAGACCGATATAAAGAAGACTATAAAATAACATCATTAAGAAAAAAAAGAAAAAAGAAAATAAAATCATAAAAATTAAGGATAGAAATTATTTTTGTATACCTTTTTGTATGTATTTTTGTAAAACTAACATTCCTCTCATTATATATATATATATATATATATAAGCTTAAGTTTACCAGTTGAAGCGCTTGATTCCCATTTGATGATGTGATTCATAACCAACCACCCGCGCTGCTTGTCTGCTTGTTCTGCCCTCGCTTCCACATCTACTTAGCAAGTCTACTTAGCTTCGTTGCCTGCTCTCCTCTATCGAGAATGGGTCTCTCGACACTGTCCTGTGGAAAACGGATGCCGCTCTTCTGGTAGACGTTCTTTGCTTCATCGCTTTCAGTATCCTTTGCTTGGTTAATTTCTTCCCGCTTTACTGACCTTGATTACTTGAATAACTAATAAGGCCCTCTTTTTCTTATTAGCACGATAGGGGGGTAATCCCTTCTGTTATGAGTGAATCTATATGAATGATTGTTACTGCATGAGATGCAATTTCCATCATGTTTCAAGCGTCAACAACTTTTAGTAACTTGTTACAATGTCATTGGTGAATGAATTTTGATAGTGAAATAAAATATTATTTCTCCTCTTAGCCGCTGCTCACTTGATCACCAACGATCTAGTTTGGACTCAGGAGCTTTCCTTCACCTCCAAGCAAAACAATTAATATATTATAACACTTACATTGTAATAGTAAGTAAACCAAAAATTGTATTTTATTCAACAATTGTGGAAAAAAAAAATGGATGTACCACTAAGGACTCTTTCCTCTAGTTTCTTTCTTTTCTAATTATAAACCTGAAATCATTACTAAATTACAGTCGTAATTTTTACTTTTTATTTAGAGTATAAAATACGTAAGAGATATATATTATTGTTAAAAGATTGATTAACTTATAACCTAAAAAGACATGTGGTTAAAAGTATTCTCTTATCAAAGAGTTTCGATATTTATTCTCTCAAACTTATAAATTTGAACCAAACAACTTCTCATCCTTATTTAAGTAAAAACTAATCCTCTAGTTTGTTGCCAAACGAGATAATATTTTGCCAAAAATATAAAATTTTTATTTTTAATGAACATCTATATATATACAATAAAACCTCTTTATAGTGATACACTATATAAGAATAAACTCTACATAGTTATAAAAAATTTTATTCTCAATTTGGGATAGTTATAAATAAGAATAAACTCCACATTGTAATAACTTATAATTTTTCTAATTCTCGTCTTAAGAAAAGTTGTCTCCACATAGTAATAATTATGTGTATATTGCAAAAAAAAAAAAAAAATTATTTGGTACATTAAAGGTTTAAGATGAAATAAAATATTTATCTAAAGTTGTTTGAAAGAATGATTTATGCTTTAGAGTTGTTACTACATCTTTTAACTTGTGGGTATATTACTCGTTAGCATGATCTTCTTATTGAAGCCAAAATATTTATAGCTTCTCAAGCATGTTTAGAGCTTCTTAGCACGGAATTTTTTGTATTTTCGTACTATCATCCTCATGATTATTTCCTTCTCTTCTTGTGTAATTGTAGTAATGATTTCTTCTTCAGCTAAAACATACATGACTTGTTGCTCATTTGAATGATTGAGGAGGACATTAATATCCATTCGATTAGTATAGTGAAGTTATCAAATCTGGTCACTCAATTCTACAATGACTCTTTGATTCTTCTTATCTACTTTATTTATAACTTGCAATTCATCGACATCAAGGGTCCTAATTTTATAATGCTTAAAACAATTGGCAATTGTTTGTGGTTTCACATCAATTTAACCATGCAATAATTGTATTTACAATTTATCAAGGACATTTATCTTTGTTGGTTCCAAGACACGATCTTTTATTCGTTTAAAAAGTAGGCAATTGAAACGCTGAATTGAAATCCTAATACTATTAAAACATGAATTGAAATCCTAATGTTGTACTGCTAAAACATTAATTATAAAATAAGAAATTTTTATAATTACATCTCTATTAAATTATAACCTTTTCATAATAATAAAATTAATTAGTCTCACCATTATGACTATAGAGAGGATTTACTCTCTGTGTGTATATATGTGTGTATATATATATATATATATATAAAGACTAAACTTGTTTTTGGTTAGAAACAGTAGAATTTATAATAATATTATTGTAATGCTTATTTCTCTTTACTCTAGAAAATACATTTCAATTTAATTGGACGAGTGGTAAACAAATTCCAATTGGATTCAGAAGATTTTGACACCACTGTAATGCAAAGAGAGGCGTGAAAGGCTTTTGTTTGAATGACAACTTATAATTGCATTGATTGAAAACACTAACTCTTTGCCGATTGCATTATTTGAAGTGGCATAAAATTCTGTCAAGCAGGAGGTACACGTGTTGTCACGGACTGCTCATATAGTTTGCTCTTCTAGAATGCCTACTGTGTGTCTGGACTAGCTTGTTCTTCTAGAGAAAAGGATTGGTTTTTGTGACTCATGGCTGAGCTCATCTCTCCTGTCTTGTTGCTGAGGAGTTGGTTGGACTTATCCATGGCTTTAGGCTCACTGGTCCAAGTCTTGTGACCGTACTTTGCTCAGCTGGAATGTCTACTGTGTCTGGATTAAGCTTATTCTTCTAGAGAAAAGGATTGGTTTTTGTGATCATGGCTGCAGCCCGGGTCAGCATGGAACGGGTAGTTGTTACATTCAATTTTTGAATAGATTTTTAGTTGAATAAGATAGCCATGTATTTAGGATTTTTTACTTGGGGTTGAATGCGTATTTTGATTTGTTTAGATTTGTTTAGATTGTTGAACGTGTTTTACTATTTAGTAGGGAAGTATGGTTGTAAGATACTATAGACTTCGTTTGGCACATTATTATTAACATATCCGAAAAGAGAGAATATCAAGCCGAAAGATATTCGGAAGCAAAATTAATTAATAGTCGTTGTTTATTACTAATCGCTAACAATGGAGAGGAAGATAAATGAAAATATTCTTTTTTCAAACAATCACATACACCATCAGCTAACAATTAACAGTTGGTGCAAATTCTTTATTCAAACAATCACAATACATTAACACAATTTTTTTTTCCTTAGTTTCTTCAAGATTAAGTGGGCACCATGTTCCGGATGAAGAGTAATAACTGAACGAGGAGAGAACATAAGATGGAGATAACTCCACGCGAAGTTTTGCAGAATTAAAGCCAAAGCCATTTTTGCCTCCAAGAGAGCAAAGTTTTGTCCAATGCATATTCTAGGACCCCTCCAAAAGGGAAGAACGAAACTTGACTCTTCGCGGCCTTTGAAATTCCTTCAGAAAACCTCTCCGGATTAACTCCCTCCGCGTCATCACCCCAAAGTTCTTGATCAGATGAACCAGGATAATGCGTTGTGACTTCAACTCCAGCAGGCAGTGACAGTCTCCAGTTTTATTTCTTCGTGAACAGCTCGTCAAGACCAAGCACTGGAGGGTATACCTGAGTACCTCATAAGTACATTGAGACCTGAGAAATTAACATTAAAATTAATCTACAAAATTCCAAAGAACAAAAGAAATACTATTTTTTCCAACATATTTATACTTACAACTTTCAAGTGATTCAATCATCATAGTTGGCTTCTATCACAAATACTTGGAAAACCTCTTCTCTTGCACGATCTGCCAATCTTGATGCTTACTCAATAAAATCATAGTCCAGACGAGCAAACGGAGGTAGTCTCTTGACCAGCAAAGTAAAACTTGCACTCTTCAATCACATCATTGATGGTCATTCCAACTTTTTTGTTGTTTCCATGTTCTTCAATTCTCCTGAAATTGGATTCCATGAGTATACCCAATAAGTCCTTCTTTGAGCTTCTCCTGCTTTCCTAACCTTCTCTCTATTTTAATGATACCAACGTAAGGCTTGTATTTCCGCGTCAATTTTCTTTAATCTCCTATTCCTTTTGTAGGTAAAAACCTCATAATATAAATAAACAATAAAAGTTAATTCAAGAATGAAATGAACTACTATTTGTGTTTTGAATGGACGGTTATTACCAAAGGATTTCAAGCATTCAGTATATCAAACACAGTCCAATATCATGAAATAGTTTCTATTTTCTCAACACTAGATATTGCTTACCTCATCCGGAATGTAAACCGATGTAAACTTCTGTCATAATATCACTAATTCTGTCAGAGTTCAAATATCTTTCTTCCTTCTTCGAAGTTGCTTCCAAATGCTGTTTTAGAAATCACATCTCCGTCAAATTTGCAAGGGAGGGCCATACATCCAATTCACATGATCCTTCTTCAGAGACCAATTTCTCCATTTGCTAACATCTCACTACAAACTTTATAGAAGGCGGGTAACATCAGCTGTAGCAAGTTAAGAATCAAAATTAATTGTTAGTATAATTAGGCATGTAATTAATGTCAACAAAAGTTCAAATACATATAAATAATGGAAAAAATAAATGAATTGACCTTCAACTTATCGAGATGGAATGCTGGGTTGATAAGCTTTCTGTTTTACTCCACTTGTCCCCCTCATAGTCTACAAGTCCAGATGCAAGATACTTCAAAAGAGGGTTCGCCTTAGGTTTATAAAATCATTATGTCTGGAAAATATTTCTTTTAGTTGATCAGGATTCATGATGATCACCCTGGGTATGGACCAATCCTGTAAATGAATTTTTTCTGCATTTTTGACAAATATGTACAAATGTTAGTAGAAGTTATTCGATTGTTGTTCAAAGGATATATCTAACATGGATGAAAGAATTATGATTATGAAAGAAGATTTGGGATTGAC